GCACTCCAGCCTGGGTAACAAGAGCGAGACTCCGTCTCAAAAAAAAAAAAAAAAAAAAAAAAAAAAAAAAAAAAAAAAAAAAAAAAAGAAGTTCAAGAGCTCTGAGAGTGGGGGCAATGGAAAGAGATGGGACTGGAGAGGTAAATAGAAATCAGCTCAGGGAAGCCTCGAATATCAGACCAGAGAATTCAGACTTCATCATGAAGACAACAGGGAGTCATTGAAGGCCCAGGATCTATGGAGAAACAGAGCCAGATCTGTGTTTTGTGAAAATGATCCAGGCTCTTGCGGAAAAGCTGGTAGGAGGGGAGAGGTTGGAAGCAGGAAGGCTGATGAGATGGGAGCTGTGATTGTCTAGACGGTGGTAGGAGGTGACTGTACGCTGCAGGGTCTACGGAAGGGTTTTCAGCAGGGAGACATGGGACCAGCATGCTCTCCGTCCTGCTGCCCGCCCTGCCTCATGCCTGGCCCCTGCTTCCCCAGTCCCCTGCTCTCCCAGTCCCCCACCCCAGACCACACACGAAGAAGCAGGCCTGTCCTCAGCCCAGCCCTCACCACCCCCGACGTTCCCTCCTGCTTCATGCTCAGGGCGGTGTGTGGTGTGTGGAGCACCAGGGCCTCTGGGCCCGAGCTGCGCTGACAGATAACAATGCTCTCGTTGTCTGTTTGCTCCCATCTCTGGGGGCCTCTGATTCTTCTCTCTGCTCTACAGGCACGCAGCACTGACAGCCTGGATGGCCCAGGGGAGGGCTCAGTGCAGCCCCTACCCACTGCTGGGGGGCCCAGTGTGAAGGGGAAGCCTGGGAAGAGGTGAGGGTGAGGGAGGAAAGGGCTCAGCTTAGTAGCTGGGGAGGCTCAAGGGGCTGCTGGTGACATCCCTTGTCTCCCAGGCTCTCAGCTCCTCGAGGCCCCTTCCCCCGGCTGGCTGACTGTGCCCATTTCCACTATGAGAATGTCGACTTTGGCCACATTCAGGTATGGGGGCTTTGCACCCAGGAGGAAAGACAATATCCTACCCAACCTTGCAATGATATCAGCTGCGTTGCTTCAGAAACCTGTCCCTGTGACTGGCTGCTGCACGCATCTGAGCAGTAAGCAGCAAAAGTTGCAGGAGAGAGAGCAGATGGGGAGAGCTGCTCATTCATTCATCCATTTGTTCTTTTATTCATTAAACGACAACTTTTGTTAGGTATGTGCTCTGTGCCAGGGTCCTTTACTGTGACCAGCATATCACCAGGCCCTGTCCTTGGGGAGGTCCATTAGGGGACACAAGCCCATCCCTAGTAGTGCCATCCCGGGGAGGTCAGGACTGGGACAAAAGTCCACCTGGGCCTTGCTTTCCCTCTGCAGCTCCTGCTGTCTCCAGACCGTGAAGGGCCCAGCCTCTCTGGAGAGAATGAGCTGGTGTTCGGGGTGCAGGTGACCTGTCAGGTGAGGCCACACCGCCTCTCATCTAGCCTGAGAGACTCGCCACCATAGTCTTCAGCTCGGTGTCATGGGGCCCCTGCTCCCTTCTGTCCCTCTGCTCCCACAGGGCCGTTCCTGGCCAGTTCTCCGGAGTTACGATGACTTTCGTTCCCTGGACGCCCACTTGCACCGGTGCATATTTGACCGAAGGTTCTCCTGCCTTCCCGAGCTTCCCCCGCCCCCCGAGGGTGCCAGGGCTGCCCAGGTAATCTGCTTGTTGTCTCAGCCCCTGCCTCATGAGTGTGTCTTCATTCGCAGTGCGTGAAATCACCAAGGCAGGGAGACAAAGAAATATTTAAATACTGGTATGGCCCTAGTCCCAACCAATCTGAGTGAATGAAGAAGCCTTGGAAACATAGTAGGCTTCTGCTTCTGCTACATTCCACTTTGATAAGTTTTAGGATCATGGGAGGTCCAGGGTCCCATGGGAGGGTCACCATGGCCATACCAACCAGGGCACTGAAGAGCCTGGCCCAGCCTATTATTCATTCACATGCCGGTAGCTCAGTGCCTAGCAGCTGAGCAGCACCCATGGGTTCAGGATGAACTTCAGCCCAGAGATGAGCTATGACCGTGTGGGAGGGCAGTGGGCTCTCTCACTGCCACTCACAGAGGCCCACCCTGACAACCTGCCCCCAGATGCTGGTGCCACTGCTGCTGCAGTACCTGGAGACGCTGTCAGGACTGGTGGACAGTAACCTCAACTGCGGGCCTGTGCTCACCTGGATGGAGGTGGGCTTGGGCAGAGGGCTTGGAGTTCAGAGTGGGCAAGGGGTATCTGAGGGGCAAGAACCAGCCTGGGAGCATGTGTGGGCACAGAAAAGAAAGAAGCCAGAGTGGAGGAGGCATTGATATTTTAGTGTCTGTGTGGGCGCATGCCTGTGAGAGAATATGTGTGAGTGTGTTAGCAGGTGTTTGGCTGTGAGGATACAAAGATTTAAATGTATGTCAATTAGAAATGGTTGGGCTGTAACTCACAGAACACCTGCCTAGGAGTGGCTTAAACCAGAGAGGTTTTTTGGTTTTGGTTTTGTTTTATAAGGGACAGGATCTTGCTCTGTCACTCAGGCTGGAATGCAGTGGTGCCATCATTGCTCACTGCAGCCTTTAACTCCTGGGCTTGAGCTATGCTCCCACGTCAACCTCCTGAGTAGCTAGAATGACAGACATGTGTCACCATGCCCAGCTAATTTTTTATCTTATTTCATTTATGTATTTATTTATTTATTTATTTTGAGACAGAATCTTGCTCTGTTGCCCAGGCTAGAGTGCAGTGGTACAATCTTGGCTCACTGCAACCTCTGCCTCCCGGGTTCAAACGATTCTCCTGCCTCAGCCTCCTGAGTAGCTGGGATTAGAGGCACCTGCCACCATGCCTGGCTAATTTTTATATTTTTGGTAGAGACGGGGTTTCACCATGTTGGCCAGGCGGGTCTCAAACTCCTGACCTCAGGTGATCCGCCCTACTTGCCTCCTAAAGTGCTGGGATAACAGGCGTGAGCCACTGCGCCCAGCCTCTGGCTAATTAAAAAAAAAAATGTTTT